AGAGAGAGAGAGAGGGGGGGGAGGAGAGCTAAAGAAAGAGAAAGAGAGCAGATATGCCTCTTATGTGCTTGCGCCTGTTTGTTAAAGAATTAGTTTTTCTTGAATCATCCAATGACAAATCATGCGAACATTATTCTAAACGTATTCTACAGTTAAAAAAAACAAAAAAACAAATGACAATTAAAATAAATGTAGATATCTATGTTCATCAGTTCATATCAGATAAAATATTGGGCAGTTTGCAAGGACATACTGATCAAGCATTTGACTGGAAGAAGCAATGGATGATCGCGCACAGAAAGTCTTCGATGTCAGTTTAGTTAGTTGAAGGTCTACGCCATGATTTTGGTTTAGTTGAAGGTCTACCGCGGTGTTCCTAGTTTAGTTGAAGGTCTACCGCGGTGTTCCTAGTTTAGTTGAAGGTCTACCGCGGTGTTCCTAGTTTAGTTGAAGGTTTAGTTGACGGTCCACCGAGTCTTCTCTGCGTTTACGTTCGGATGTCTGTTGCTCTTAGTCTATTGCACGTTCTGATAGCCACAGTAAAGAGTGCGCCCTTGAAACTCAAAGGACAGGCCTACCTATTACAGCGATTACCACCCCACCCCCTCCTTTTCAACCCCATTTTTCTCTCCAAAAATATTAATCGAATGACATTTTTAAAAATCAAACAAACAAATACACAGTTTTTAAGTTTAAACAACAGCCTATTACTAGATCTAGAAACACAGTGTAAGTCAGATTAAAAATTGCAATTATATCTCTTTAGGAATTATTACGTGAATTTTCCAAATGGACGACTCAGGATTGCATCTGTGAGAGTGCGTGCGTGCGTATGTCGGTATATTATGTATCTCTACATCTGTATACAAGTATGTGTACCGGTGCACGCTCACGCGCGCGTGTGTGTGTGTGTGTGTGTGTGCGTATGATTGTGTGTGTGTGTATGTGTGTGTGTGTGTGTGTGTGTGTGCGCGTGTGCGAGCGTATGTGTGTACGTATGTGTCTACACGTTTGTATTCGTGTGTGTGACTGCGTCTTTGTGATTTAAAAAAATGATGTGTGTTAGTGTATGAATACGGCGCAATCACGACTTGTCAACAGCCGCGTAGAAGTAATGCCGACAGTGGCATTTGTTATACATAAACTTGAACATTTATTTTAGTTTTCTCACTATATTTCTCTCTGGTTTTAAGTCCAGCATACTATGCAGGTAGATAGCGAAGTCATTTCGTCACATTTAATTGGGATGTGACGAGATGACCGTGTGACGAAATGACCGTTTACCAGGTAGATGACTGTCACAAACTCGACACAATTTATAAAGTCGCCCGGCTCTTGTATTTACTTGATTAGGCTCACTCTAGTTGATAGCTCGTTCATTTCCTTTATACATATAAGATAATTGCCTAAGTCATATTTGGTTGGTTTGGAGTTTTTGGTTCTGAAACGTAGAGCAGAGCCAGCTTGATAATATTATAGTCCACTGGACAAAAGGATAATCCAAACTAAATATAAAATCAAGTGAGTATACCAAAATTCAAACGTTTCATGGAGTCAATTGTTAGGCAAAAAAAATTCCTCATTTTTTTCTCAAAATGGCTAAAATGACTTAGGAATTGAAGTGTATCTTATGAGCGTGTCGACCTGTCTCAATGAATTTGTCACAGAGATGTTCTCATTGCCTCATAGTTCTAGCTACCATTGACCACGGGATCCTCCAAACAAAATCGTAAGCCTCTAGTGGTGCCTTGTTGTAGCAGAGTTGGTGACATTCTTATTGTTGTTGCTGTCGTTATTATTACCTTTATCATTGACGACAAGATGGCAAATAGGATTGTGCTGGGCACAGAATGGGACTTACGAAATTACATGTTGGCAAAAAGGGTCAGAAAAGATATTTGAGTTGTTTTTGGGCTGTTGTTTTTTTTTAGTTTGATTTATTTGTTTCGGAAAATAGTAAGATGTGATTTGAGAACGAAAGAATCATAAATTTATATTTACGTTATTTTTTTCTTTTCCTTTTAGTACATGTGCTTATACAACATCTATTCACCATAAATCGGTTTGTTTGTGTCTTTGTTCAACTTCTTTATATTATATTATGTGCTATGGTTTTTAAAAGTTCGTAAGCTTGTTTTGTTTGTGTGGGTTTTGCTCCTCTTTAAAAACATGCAATTTTTAAAATGTGTTTCTCTTTTTTTTAATATATAACTCTGCATCAGCATTCTGTTTCGGCTACATTTAATAACGCTACTCGTTCGCCTCATCCCCTCCCTTCTCCGCCTTTCGTCTTAAAGAAGTGTGAATTCTCTTCAACGGGGGTACAGGAAACCAAAGATAATGTTTGGGGGTATGTTTAAGCCTAAAGTTTCGATTCAAGACCAGTTTATCTCAAACATATTTTGATAACTGAATTTAGATGTACAGAATGAACAGAAAGAGTTAGAAACGAATGCGTTTTCACAAAATCTTGTGTACATGTATGCAGGAATTGGACTGGAAAGTAGAACGAGAGAGAGAGAGAGAAAAAAATGATAATAATGAAAGACTGGGAAAGTAAAGACAGTAGCTAGAGCGGATCCTACTTACACTTCACACAGGGACAATACTGACATGGCTGAGCTTCCTCCGTGCCGCACATCTGCACTCAGAAATCCATCAACATCTACTCCAGAACACATTAATTAATAACAATGAGCGCTCTTCAAATCCCTCACAAACTTTCCCCCCTTTTTCACTATAGATGTGTTCTAATTATTTTTTTTTGTTTAGATCGCCTGCAGAGAGGCAATTGACATTCGTACAAAAATGAAATCCTACAGGACTAAGCATAATTCGCCATCGTTCTAGTTATGGTGGCCGGAGTGTCCCACCCCGAGAGAGTAGCGGCTCTCCCGTTATGTCGACCTGACACAACAGCTCCCCCGTGAGCACCCCCACACCCACCCCCACACTCACCCTCACACTCACACTAAGTTACGGCGACCCGCCGAGCGCACCACAGAGTCCCTCCACGCCGCCACATCAAAAGCTAAACATATCCATCACAAATAGCAAAACTGAGTGAAAACGTACTCCATCCAAACTTATCACAAGAAAAAATATTTCGAAAGCGCGTATTGGGCATCCTTTTTTAAGTTACGGGAAAAAAAACTTAGCCGCAGTAGCAAAACAAAACTGATAGGCTAAAAGAGTCGTTACAAATTCAGGGTATCGAAGCTCATATTATTTGTCAGGTAAGGAGATGATGACCAAAGCACTAACGCTAAATATGACAAGACGAAGGAGCGGGGACGCTGCACAAGCAAACAGGGAGCGCTGCACATGGTCTCAGAAGGCTACACTATCTGGCGCGCGCGCGCCTATCTGTAAAGTCACCTGAGTCTCCGAGGTCTTGGAGTCGCCTAGAGGCCAAGTACGGTAAATCTCCTATCTCAAATGTCCACACCCGGGCGGCCGCGCTGGGCTGTTCCACACACGGCTCTGGTACTGAGGGAGCTACTCTCTCGGGTATGTCTTTTGTTGCTTTCCGCACTCCCCTCCAATCCCATCCCTACCCTAGAGACGGGCGGCCCACGAGGGAGCAGTCAGTGAAGAGCTCTGCGCCACCGGCCAATGGGAGATCTCTAATCGCCTGCACGCGATAAGTCGCCGCCCCCCGCCGCCGGGGACTGGCCGCTGTCGCGCGCGCTGGGGCCAATCACACCGGAGTCTGACGCCGACATAGGGCGGTAATTCCGCCAGCGCCCCGGCTCGTTTTCATCCCCCGCGTCTTCTGTCTTTTTCCTTGTGTAGTTTCGCCCTCTGCTTTGACACCCTGCTGATTGTCATTTTGTTAAATAAACATACAAGTGTTGCAACTCTTGGAAATCATTATTTGCTAATCAAAACTCAGTAGATCTAGTGGATAGCTGGACTGGATTTTTGCAATTGCCAGAAAAAACAAAACAACAACAATCTGCACTGGACTGAAAAAAAGTAGATAAATAACGTTTAGGCCTAATCAACAGTAGAATTCACATTCATTTAATGAAAACCGACAATTATCAATATTATTCTGATATTTTCATGAACAATATCAAAAGCCGGTTCAGACGGAAAAGACAACATGAAGTTGTTGGGGTTTGTTTTGTTTTGTTTTGCTTGGGTTGTTTTTGTGTTGTTGTTGTTGTTTTTTTTGGGGGGGGAGCAATCAAGTTTCTTTAAAAATGTAACACATTCACCTCCTGTAAAGTAGGCAATTAAATTAGAAAAGTAATTTAAACAAGTGACGACATAATATAAGAATACAATTTCTTAGATTTTTCCAGGAGGGGAACACGAGGCTTTCTTTTTTGGAGTTTGGGAGTGCAATATTATTTCTATAAAGGCTCTATAATTTTGGTATTTAAAATGTTGGGTCTTTTTTTGTGGAGGGAAAAAAGAAAAGGAAAATGAAAAACTTATTGTGAGGAAGTGCGGGCTGGCATTTGTTTGGGTTTTTTTTTCAAACA